CGGACAGAGGGCTGTGTGTGCTCTGATGGACGGAGGAGGGTGTGCTTCTGACGGACAGGGCGGTGGTGCACCCCAGTGGGGTGGCGGGGAGGTGCGTGGGCAGGGCAGTGGTGCGCCCCGATGGGGTGGTGGGGAGGTGCCCTCTGATGTTGAAGCTCTGAGAGGGGCCCTCCTTCCCAGACAGAAAACAGACTGCACGAGGCCTGAGGTGGAGGTGGGGTCAGCTGTGCCAGGGGAGATGTGACCAGCCACCGAGTGACAGAGACTGAGGCTTGGGACGCCGGAGGGTACTGACTGGGGTCAGGAGAGGCAACAGCGTCTCCATGGCACCCACAGCCTGGGGACTGGGACAGGGACGGCAGCCAAGGCCTGAGCCCACACCCTCGGACACTCAGAGCCCAAGGGACAGAGCGAGAGGGCGGGAAGACGGCCAAGCCAACCACTAGCTTTGGCAAGAGGGCAGTGGCCACTTGACCAAGAGTCATTGCCAGGGGACGTGGGGATGAGTGCGGGCTAGGAGGGGGTGGGAGATGAGGCAGGGGGAGGTGGCACAGGGACAACAGAGACAGGAAATCGGGCCAACACGCTGTCACAGGGAAGTCGCAGTGTCACAGGCCGGCACACAGGTGCACACATGAGGTCCAGGAGCAATGGCAGACCCAGGGACTCCAAGCACCTACACACACACTGCCAGGCACATCCTGCTGAGCACGGCTGGCCAAAGCGCCTGGAGCCCCACCCCATGACACACACCTCCGTGGGGTGAAACCGACCCGGCCCTTGGAGGGACTGGCCACACTGACTGGGCCCCGGCTAGGGCGGAGGCCGGTGGAGTGGAGGAGAGCTGTGTCCTTGGAGTTTCTGGAAGGCTCGATTTCCTGGAGCTCCTCCACCCCACCTTCAGAAGGGAGGGGAAGTGGGCGTGGGCAGGGAGCCCAAGGTGGGACGTGACTTCCCTGCCAGGGCTGGGCCGGACTCTCCCACGATGGGTATCAGTGTCCCTGGGGTTGGGGGGAGGGCATGCAGGCAGGGAGCCCAGATGGGGGTGGGGAAGGGGACAGCGGCTTCCTGGAGAGCCCTGGATACCCCCTCCCCTCCTGAAGGGACCTGGATCTCGCTGAGCCTGACCTCCACCTCAGCCTTGGTCCTGTGTCCCTGTAAAGCTTGCTGGAGTGGTCGAGCCTTCTGGGTTCGAGGGGAGCCCACCACTCAGGGAGTGAGGGTCAGGGGCCATCCAGACTTCCACACTCCCCCTTTTGGCGTCCGGGCCTCCTCCTCTGTTCTCTCTGACCACCAGGACCCAGGAGCAGAGGCCCGGCAGATCGGCACGGCCCTGGGGAGGGCAGTGTTGCTCAGTGTGTGTTGACTGACTAACTGACCAGATTTGAATTGCCCAGCCAGGGGAGCACTGAGAGGGTGTGTCCTGCAAGGCGGGAGTGGGGATCGAGTTACAGGAGGGGGGAGGCGGGGTGGGCAGAGCCTGGCCAACAGCCAGCCCGGCACTGCCCACAGGCAGGGCCCAGGCACCAGAGGGAGGGAGCGTTTCCAGCAGGTAGGCCGGGCAGGGAGGGGACTCGGGACCCTGGGGAAGGGGAGGGGTGGGCCCAAGCCAGGGTTAGACAGGGGTCCCAGGTGTGCGGGGCAGTCCACAGAGCACGGGGCAGCAGAACTCCGGAGGCGGCGAGGGAGAGTGGCCCGGCAGGTGAGCGTGCTGAGCGGGCAGGGCAGCCATGGCTGGGGCCACCTAGTGAGGAAAGTGGCCGTGTTTAGGGCTCCGGCTCCCACAGAGCTGGTCTCCGCCGCCCCAGCCCACCCCCACAACGGGCCCTCCTGGCCTTTCCTCCCCCTCCTGGGGACAGCACCCCTCCCCGCTCCCTGGAACCTGGGCAAAGGAGCCAGAGTCTCCTCCTTTCCAGGCATGGAGGAGGGGAGGGATCCTGTGGAGAGGGGTGTGCAGGATGAGAGGGACCTGGGAAAGCAGGGGACACCCGAGTGGACTCTCCAGAGTGGGGGGCGTCTGGGGAGAGAAGGGGAGGAGGGCCCAGTGGGGACAAGGGAAAAGAGAGGGTGCCCAGAGGAGAGACTGGGCACTTGGGAGAGGAGTGGGCCCACAGGGAAGAGGAAGGAGCTTTCAGGGAGAGGGGACATGGAGGGGGTCCCTCCCAGGGAGGCAGCGGCAGTTCCCCAGGGGAAAAGCGAACAATGTGGGGGAGTGGGCACGGGGAGGGGGGTGCTCTGAAGTGGGGGAAGCTAGAGGAGAAAGACAGGGGTGGTAGGAGACAGAGGGGACCCCCCTCTTGAGCACCCCTGGACCCCATCTCCCCCGAGCCCAGTTGGCAGACAGTGAACACAGGTGACTGCATCTCGCATGTAGCCTTAGCTGGAGCCGGGGGATGCGGTCACCCTCCCCCGCTCAGTGACACCAGCTGAGCCACAACTTCCTGGCTGCCGGTTGACTTTCCCATCCCACAGGGGCCCTGGCTGCCAGGCTGTTCCACGAGCCACATCTCAAAATGCCTGTCCGTCTGTACCTCTGTCACTGCCCTCCAGGGCCCTAGTTGCTGTCACTGGTCAGTGTTTCTGCCTGTCACTCAGGGTCCTGGTACAGGGTCACCACTGCATGTCCCTTATCCACCATTAAACATCAGCATACATTTTCCGTTGCTTGAGATCACCATGCCACGGCCCCTGCCTCTGCCTGTCACTCGTGTCCTTGTCACACCAGCAGGCCATCGCCCAAAGGTTCCAGGGACAGTGAGAGTGCGCGACGACTCCCTCCCATTCCCTTCCACTCAGTCCGGTCTGAGCCCACATGCCTCATTCATCCAGCAATGATTACGGAGCAGCTCCGTGCCAGGCAGCTGGGACCCCGCAGTGAACAAACCCTGCTCAGGCGTCTTCCCCGTGAGGGAGACCAACCCCAGGGCGCCCTTGCACGGGGTGTCAGGAGAGGCTGCACGCTGTGATGGCCCCAGTTCCAGCCCCGGCAGGAGGCAGGACAGGCCCTCTATCTGCCACACAGACTGGGCAGCGTGACCCAGCTCCAGGAGGTCCCTTTGACTCCCCACACCCAAGGCCACCTTGTTGGGTGTTCCCTCCAGGGTCCTGCCAACTTCCCAGCCTGGGGCAGCCCTCGATAACCTTGGCCAGAGCTGCAGGGAATCCGAGCTGCTCTGCTGCATCCGGGGCCAAGGCCAGGCCTGGGCACTGTGCTGCTCATTCTGTGCTCTGGGAGTCTCTCCTCACCTCCTCCCTGGTCACGCAGAGGGAGCCCAGCTCCAGCCCCGGGTGTCCCTGCTGCTGCTCAGACACTGCCCGGTGGAGCAGGAAGGAGGGAGGAGTTAAACCGCAGCAGGGCCTGGGCCTCCAGGGAGAGGTGCAGAAAGAAGTGGTTTCTGGGTCTGCTGAGCAAAAACAGCGAGAAGGAAAGATGCCGCGGTGGAGGCTTAGATTAGACGCAGAAGGGACTTCCACGGATGAACTTCTCGAACAGGCTGAGAAGGGGTGGTACAGGGAAGGCCCAGGTAGTGGAGAGTGACCCGCAGTCAACAGCGCCTTCTTCCCCAGACCTCCCCATTCAGGATTCCCTTCCTCCCCTGCACGCTGAACCACAGAGCACAGACTCAAGGGAGCCCGATCGCTGTTTGCAGAGCCTGGGGTGGTTTGCCCAGTCTGAGCATATGAAGAGTTCAGCCTTGTTTCAAGAACTGACTGTCGGGACCAGCAGGTGGCGTAATGGCTATGTTGCTGGGCTCCCAAGTAGTCAACCACAGTTCGAGTCCTGGACCTGGCTGCTTAAAACTCACGCTGGGCACATGCGCATGCGTGCCCAAGATCCTGAGAGGAGAATGGAGGAAAAGGGATTTTGGTGTGGCCACGCCCCCCCCGGGGGGTGATTTCTCGCTTTCTGTCTCTCTGTCTCTCTCTGTCTGTCTGGAGAGCACATGCGCCCTATAGCAAAAAAAAAAAACCTTCTTAAAAAAAGAAAAGAATTGACCGTCAAGAGCTGGCATCTGATTTGCTCAATCCGCTCAGGTCAGCTGAGCCTGCAGAGGCTGTCACGGTCTTCGGAGTCACTCATGGTGTGCAAAGCATGCCCTGGGTTCACAGAGCCTTTGTCTTAGCAGAACCGGTTTTGGCCCCAGCCAGCGTCTGCTTTCTGAGTCTGCATCTCTTTAAACAGTCTGTCCCAGGCTCCCTATGTGGGATATCCGCTGTTACAGAACCTGCCCAGCATGAGCCTGCCCTGTTTATGAAGCTTGCCTGGTGGTGCCTTTGTCTGGAACACCTCTTTCTGCCTAAAGACGCTGCCTCTGTTTGCAGAGCTCCTCTGTTTACAGTACCTGCCCTGTTGGCAGGACCTGTTTCCCCTGCAATAGGTCTCTGTCACCAGGCTAGGTCCCTGATTAGCAGAACTAACTTGAGACCAGCAGATGGTATAATGGTTATGTCACTGGACTCCCATGTAGTTGCCTGTGGCTCAAGTCCTGGAACAGGCAGCTTAAAACTCACACCAGGCATATGTGTGTGTGTGCCCAAGATCCTGAGAGGAGAATGGAGGAGAAGGGATTGTGGTGTGGCCATCCCCCCTGGGGGGTGATTTCTTACTTTCTGTCTCTCTGGTGAGTGCACAGGCCCTATAACAAAAATATCTCTAAAAAACTTTTTTTTTACCTTTTTATTCATTAATTTTATTTATTTATTTATTTTGACCAGTGAGAAACAGAACAAGAAGAGAGAGAGAAAGTGAAAAAGCAAGCTACCAGGTCTAGGACTCGAACCGTGGTAGGCCATGTGGGAGTCCAGTGCCCTTCACCACCACGCCACCTGCCGGCCTCCCAGCTGAGCCTCTTCTGTTTCAGAGCCAGGTTCTGACGGTACAACCTGAGTCCCGTGCGCAGCATCAACCTTTCTCAGGGTGTTTGCCTGTTGGCACTGTCTGAATTTCCCTGGGTGAAACGTACCTGCTTGCAGGGCCCATTCCTATAGAGTGTCCGTCACTGTCTGGGGCCGTGCCTGTGTGGTGCACCTGTTTCTCTCATCTCAGAGCCTACGGCTAGCTGCACAAGCTCTTCCTGGTTCCCAGGCCTTCCTGTTTCCATGCAGGCCTGTTAGCCGAGCCTGGCCCTATGTATAGAGACTTGGCCTGTTTCCAGAACTCAGCCTCTTCTATCAAGCCCTTTGGCAGAATCTGGGGCTCTCCAAAGATCTTGTTCGTTAGTGCATCAGTGCTTGGACACAAACTGAATTCTTGGCCAGCTCACTCCAGCAGATCTCGCTCCTCTTTTGGGGAAGCTGTCACTGTTAGCAGAGCCTGTCTGCAGGAGCCACTATGGAGCTCTGTCTGGAGAGCCTATGTCATTTTTCAGAGCCTGAATCTCTTTGCAGAGTTCACGGTCATTTTCCCAGCCTATACTCACTTCCCGGTATGCAGGGTTTCAGAAACCGTCTTCCGGACAGAGCCTGACCAGGTCTGGAGAGCTTTGGCCTATTTAGGAGCCTGCCCCACTCCAGGACGCGTTTCTCTGCTATGCTGGGTGGCACGGCCTTGCCTATCTGTGTGCCCGTCCGTGCCTGCAGAGTCTGCCCCTTGTACAAAGAGTCCCTGTGTTAAGGGCTTGCCGCCCTTCCTGTTTGCAGAGCCTTCCCAGTCTGCAGTTTCTCTGTGCCCAAAGAACCCATGCGTGTTCCCAGAGCCTTTGTCAGTGTTCACAATCTTTTTTTTTAATTGTATTTCACTTTATTTATTATTTATTTTAATTTGACTAGAGAAGGATAGAACAAGCAAGCGAGAAAAAGAGAGGGAAAGTGAGAAAGCAAGATGCCAGGTCCAGGACTTGAACCATGGTCAGCCATGTGGGAGTCCAACGTCCTTAACCACCATGCCACCTGCTGGCCCCAGTGTTCACAATCTTTGCTTATTTGCTGGGCCCGTCTGAATTCGCCTGGGTAGTCTGTCTCTCTTTGCACAGGCTGCAATGCACACCCAGAGGGTCCCTGTCGACAGAACCCACTTCTGTTAGAATAGCCTTTGCCTGCTGCCATCTTGCCTTTGGTCTCAGAAAGCTGTCCCTGTTTGCAGAGCCTGCGCCTGTGTGCAGAGCCTTTTTGCTATCCACATACCCAGTCCTCTGCAGAACCCGTGTCTGTCTACAGAAGTTCTTCTTCAACTCTGTCTGGGGAGAAGGCCTGTGTCTATTCGCAGCCCTGGCCTGTGGACAGACCCTGTCTTTGGCTACAGGACTGAGTCTCAAGTCAAGGGCCTCCTCCTGTCTGCAGTCTGTCCCTGCCAGCTGGATCTGTTCCTAATCGCAGAGCCCTTCCCTGTCCGTGTCACCCATCTCTGTTGACAGTGACTGCCCCTGACTGTGGGTCCTGGGCCTGTCTGCCTAGCCCGTTTCTAACTTCCCATCTGTTTGCAGAAGTTGTTGATGTGTTCCGAGCCTGCTCCTGTCCAGAGATGTCAGCCCTAGTTTTTGTTGTTGTTGTTGTTGTTGTTGTTTTTAAGAAATTTTTGTTGTAGGACATGTGGATTCGCCAGAGAGACACAGAGACAGAGAGACCAAAAGCGAGAAATCACCCCCTAGAGGGGATGGCCACGCCACAGTCCCTTCTCCTCCATTCTCCTCTCGGGATCTTGGGCACGCACGCACACACACCCGACGTGAGTTTAAGCCACCAGGTCCGGGATTTGAACCACGGTCGACTACATGGGAGTCCAGCGACATAGCCATTACGCCAGCTGCTGGTCCCTCAGCCCTGTTTTAACAGCACACCCACGGACGCACCAGTTTCCTGTGGGCAAAGCCTCAGTCCACACGCCTGTCGCACCTGTCCTGGCCTGGTGGCGGCTGTGTGTTGACAGAGCCCTCCTGATGAAAGTCACGCTTTGTGATGAAGGTGCCTTTGGCCAGTTGTAGGAGCCCAGGGAACAGGAAGCTGGGGGGAAGCCTCCAGCCTGAGAACCCTTGTGTCCTCGCTCATTCCTGCCCGGCCTAGGATGAACGAAGGCGACAGCCTCCCAGCCATCCACAGCCAGAGGGAACTCCACGTATGGATCATTGAGGTGAGGGGCAGGCTCGTGCCACAAAGGGGGGGGGGAGTCCCTGAGACTAGTGACATCCCCTCCCAGAGCTCCCTGATCCAGCCCATCCTGGGGGCGTGTCATGGCGGAAGGGTCTCTAGCGTTGTCACTGTCTCCCCTCTTCTCCCAGAATCTGAAGACGGTGCCGGTACCCGAGAGGGCTTATGGGAACTTCTTTGAGGAGCACTGCTATGTTGTCCTCCACGTGAGTCACCTGGAGAGTCTGTCTGAGGGGGGCAATGTAGCCCAGCACTGGGGACGCTGGTAGAGGGACAAAAGCTCTACCCTGGGAAGAGCCCAAGAATGGCATCCCCCTAGGGGACGCTGCCCTGGGGCCTCTCAGCACTTCCCTCCCCCTTTCCTGATCTCTGGCCTGAGAAGGGCCTGCCCAGGGCTCCCCCAAGCCCTTGGCAGATCTGTGACCTGCCCCCCTCCATGCCTGGGCTCTCAGCTGCTCACTCGCCCTGGGTCCTCTGTCAACCCCCTACTCTGTCAACCCCTCCTGGGCCCTAGATCCCCCAGAACCCGAAGGCCACTCAGGGGACGTCCAGCGACCTGCACTACTGGATTGGGAAGAAGGCGGGTGCAGAGGCGCAGGGCGCCGCGGGAGCCTTCGTGCAGCGCCTGGGAGAGACCCTGGGAGGCCCCACCGTGCAGCACCGCGAGGCGCAGGGCCATGAGTCCGACTGTTTCCGCAGCTACTTCCGCGCAGGAATCCTGTGAGTGTGTGTGGAGAGGGGAGGGGAGAGGCAGACGTAGGAGCGGGGGCGGAGGCTGGGGCAGTGTTGGGGTGCCTCTCTGCCTCATCCATGGCCAGACATGCTGGGTCATTGTTGAGATCCAACTGGCCATACAATTCACCATTTCAGGTACACAGTAGCATTGTTTTTGTTTTGGAGAGGTTTTCGCTATAGGGCGCATGCGCTCACCAGAAAGAGAGAGAGAGACAGAGAGACAGAGAGACAAAGAGACAGAAAGCGAGAAATCATCCCCCCCCCCCCCAGGATGGCCTCGCAGCAACCCCTTCTCCATTCTCCTCTCGGGATCTTGGGCACACACGCACATGCGCCCGGTGTAAGTTTAAGCTGCCGGGTCTGGGACTCAAAACGCAGTCGACTACATGAGAGTCCAGAGACATAGCCATTACGCTAACTGCTGGTTCCCAGATGTTTTCATCTGTTTGAGTGTACACCTAGGAGTGGAGGGATGTTTCCAGTGTGCTGTTATGTTACCGTGCCAGTAGGACATACGCCTTCTGCTGTAAATTGTTTCAAATGTCTTTCCGTGAATAACGGCGATGTATTTGGGGTGAGTAGGAGAAACTGCCGTACTCAGCCATTTCTATTGAAGGCACGTGTACAATAGATGCATGCATGAACACATGCACATAAGCATCCACGCACACGCAGAAACACGCATCATCCCTACACAGGTTCCCTACGTGTGTCCAAGTCCACCACACGCCGACACACGTCTGTGGGTGTGTCCTCACGCGTCTAGACTCACATGGATGAACAGAGTCACACCACAGCCCTACACGGACACTGGTGTGTGTGCGCATGCGTGTGACCGCATCTCGTTACACGGATAAACGCATGGGCACTCACACCCCATGTGTGCACTCACACACCTCTACATACATCTGTCCACACCTACCCAGACCCACATAGTAAAGAGACCCGTGCACAGCCTCTGCGTGCAGACGTGCGCAGGCTTACCTGTACACGCATCCCTGTATATTGCAGTGTGTTTCTTTTTTGGTTTTAAAAAAGTATTTATTTGGGGGCCAGCAGGTGGTGTGGTGGTTAAGGGAGCTGGACTCCCACGTGGCCGACTGCAGTTTGAGTCCCAGACCTGGCAGCTCGCTTTCTCACTTTCCCTCTCTTTCTCACTCTGTCCCTTTCTGGTCAAATTAAAATAAATACATAAAGTTAAATAATTCCTTTTTTTTTAAGGATTCATTAAATTTTATTCATTGTTATTATTCTTCAATTTGTCGAGAGAGAGAGAGACAGCAAGCTGCCGAGCCGCAGTCAGCCATGTGAGAGTCCAGCACCCCAACCACCGCGCCACCTGCCGGCCCCAGCAGTGTGTGTTCTTACGTGGGACCCTGTTCCCTTCTCAGCTACAGGAAGGGAGGCCTAGCCTCGGGCCTCAAGCACGTGGAGACCAACACGTACAACATCCCACGACTGCTACACATCAAAGGGACCAAGCACGTGTCCGCCGCCGAGGTGAGGGCCACCAGGGACGCCATTTGACCTGGTGAATAAAGAAGTGTGGAGGTGGCAGGGGTATGGGGGGGGGGACACATCCGGGACGAGGAGCAGAGAGAAGCCCCTCTGCCACCACACCCGGACCTCTGTCTACCCACCTGTCTCTTGGGCAGATGAGGCAGACAAGATGGCGCACCTGATGACCTCGTCAGCTGCACAACAGGAGGTGACACACACTGTCACTGTCACCCCTAGGCACACGCACTGCCTCCCGCTGTCACCGCGGGGCACTTTGGTCCACGCAGTGCCCTTGTGCAGACGTAGCCGCGTACCCCGTACTTCCACTTGTTGGGAATCGATGGGAAATGCTGGTCTTGTTAGAACTAGACGTTTTGCTACCATCTGGCCAGAGTGGGTGTGGTGGACACTCAGGCGTAGTGTCTACAAGGTTCGCCTGTCGTCTGCACAGAATGTGGCCACCCTGTGACATGTAGACAGTCCCACAGGTTGCACTGTCACCCACAGATCCATGACCATCTGGCTCTGGTCATGCAGGGACACCACACAGCCCTGGGCTTTGCCTATCAGCCTGACATCATTATTTAATGTCCCCTTTTATTCACGAAAGTGTCTCAGGTTGGGGACCAGCAGATGGCATAATGGTTACATTGCTGGAATCCCATGTAGTCGACTGTGGTTCGAGTCCTGGACATGACAGCTTAAAATTCACACTGGGGGTGTGTGTGTGTGCATGCCCAAAATCCCGAGAGGAGAACGGAAGAGAAGGGATTTCGGCGTGACCATCCCCCCTGGGGGGTGATTTCTCGCTTTCTGTCTCTCTGTCTCTCTCTGTCTGGCGAGTGCACACGGCCTGTAGTAAAACTCTGTCTCTGAAAACAAAAAGTGCTCAAGTTGTGTAACCACACTTACCTGCAGGTGCACACCGTCTCCCACATGGAAGCAGAGCCTGTCCCCACAGGCGCACACACATGTCCACTTTTGTCCTGCCCCACCTGTGTCTGTGCATGCATGTCCACACACACGGATGCAGACACGGACCCCCTTTCTTATCTTTTATTCTTTGCTCTAGGGCACATGCACTTGCCAGAGAGACAGAAAGATGGAAAGTGAGAAGTCACCCCTGAGGGGGATGGCCACACTGCAGTCCCTTCGCCAGTCTCCTCCTGGGACTTTGGGCACACGTGCGCATGCACCTGGCATGATTTTCAAACTCTCAGGTCCAGGGCTCCAACTGTACCACTGGCCATTGGGACCCAGCTGCTTTAACCTCCACGCCACCTGCCGGCCCCAGACATGGGCTCCGTTGTACACACGTGTGCATGTACACATGCACAGCTGCAGGTGTGCACTGAGTGAAAGCTCGGTCAGCCACACACATCCTGGGAAATGCTGCATGACCTGCGAGCACACGCACCACACGCGGCCACACCCCCAACATTGTGTGGGGGTGTGGCCTGCGCTCCGCCCACTGGGCCCTGGTGGTATGAGCCCCGCTTTCTCCCTGCCCTCCTGGCTCTGGCAGGTGGCACTTTCCTGGAGCAGCTTTAATAGGGGCGATGTCTTCCTGTTGGACCTGGGCAAGGTGATGATTCAGTGGAACGGGCCTCAGACCAGCATTTCTGAGAAGTCTCGGGTCAGTATCCACCCCAGGAACTGCAGGGCGCAGGGCTGGGAAGACAGTGGCCATCCTCTGTCACCTTCCACCGCAACCCAAGAAGCACCTGGGAAGCACACGCTGAGTCCGGACCCTGTGCTCACGGTGCCCTAATGCCAGGATGAGGGACCCGCCTCCTCTCCCCCACCTAGCTCTATGGTGGCGGGAAGGCTCTGGAGTGGGCTCTCTGAGGGGTAAGGGGATGCTGGGGATGCCTGACAGCCAGGTCCTCTCCCTCAGGGGCTGGCCCTGACCTACAGCATCCGGGACAGGGAGCGTGGTGGCCGGGCACAGATCGGCGTGGTAGACGATGAGGCCAAAGCCACCGACCTCATGCAGATCATGGAGACCGTGCTGGGCCGCAGAGTGGGCAGCCTGCAGGCCGCCTTGCCCACCGAGAGTATTAACCAACTGCAGAAGGCCAACATCCGCCTCTACCAGTGAGCAGACGCGGGCGGGCAGGCACGTGGGCGGGGCAGTCTTGGCTGGCATGTCCGTCCCCATCGGAATATGACAGTGTCTGTCCTCCAGAAAGCCACGTGGGGCCGTGGGCCCAGCAGTACTCTTGCACGGTGTGGCTGCCTTGCTGAGAAAGCCATAGCACAGACCAGGGACTGAGGCCCTGGGAGGCTCAGGGAGCTGCCCAGGGCTCCTTAGCAAGGCTGCAGTGAGCTCAGGACGGCAACTCTGGGCTCCACCTCCAAGGGAAGAGGAATGAAGGGACCTGGAGGTGGCCAGGCCAGGGAGAGGCTGGGCTGCCCACACCTGGCTGCCTGTCCCCCAGTGTCTACAGGAACGGAGAGGACTTGGTGGTCCAGGAGGTAGCAACCCGCCCACTGACCCAGGACCTACTGCAGGAGGAGGTGAGGAAGGCCCGGCCCAGCACCCCACCCATCCCCAGCCCAGTCTGCACCTGCGGCTGACCATCTCGCCCTCGTTCCCAGGACTGCTACATCCTGGACGAGGGGGGCTTCAAGATCTATGTGTGGCAGGGACACATGTCCAAACCCCAGGAGAAAGAGGCTGCCTTCAGTCGGGCGGAGGTGAGGCCCTGGGCGCTGAGGGATGCAGCACCACCTTGGGGTCTGACCGGGGACACAACCCTGCCCTGGAGTTAAGGAAGGAAAACACCCCAACATGAGTTTGAGTGGGGAAATCTCGTTATCCAGAGGCCTCAGAGGAGAGGTAGCCCTACCCTGGGGTCCCAAAGAGGGTACTTCCTGCCCTGAGAGTCCTAAGCGTGCATTGCAGGTGGCTCCTAAGAAACTTTGTGTGTGAGAGGTCGTCTGCAACCCCTCCTTGCATGGGGTTGATGGGAGGCTGGGCTCTGCTGGGGTCTGGGTGTTGTCATAGCTAGCCCTTCCCGAGGCCCGGATTACGGGGACCTTGCCTGCCTTCAGGGACCTCGGAGAAGTCGCAGCTGGTTAAAATGGGTCAGGAGCTCCGTTAATTAACTTAACGATTGCCGGAGCTCAGCTGTCCCGGCAGCCCGACCTGAAGGTCCCCGGGGGTGGAGCGGAGTAGTGGGCCTCGGGGCGCAGGCCTGACAGATCCCCTGCCCCAGGACTTCATCCGGGCCAAGGGCTACCCGCCCTACACCAACGTGGAGGTGGAAGACGACGGCGCAGAGTCGGTCGCGTTCAAGCAGCTCTTCCAGACGTGGTTCCAGAAGCCGAGCAGGCACAGAAAGCTCGGCGGACTGGGTGAGCGCGCGGAGCCGAGCCGGCAGGGACAGGGCCTGGCAGGGGCGTGGCCTGCGGGAGGTTGGAGGGGCGGGACCCAGAACCTTGGAGGGAAGGGTAAGGAGTGGGCGGGGTATGACTGTACTGGGCGTGGCCTGGGAGAAGTGGGGCGGGGCCTGGTAGAAACGGGAAACCGCAGGATGGGCGAAGGGGCGGGAGACTGGACGGGGCGGGGCCCCAGAACGTGGGCGGGGTATGGCTCTCGTGGGCGTGGCCTGGGGGGAGTGGGGCGAGGCCTAGCAGAAACCGGAAACTCGGCGGGATAGAGAAGGGGCGTGGCCAGCGGGAGACTGGGCGGGGCGAGATCCAAAGTCCTGGTGGGATGGGTGAGCGCAGGGCTGGAGCGGCCGGGGCAGAAGCTGCAGCCACCTCTACCCCACCGTCAGGTAAGCTGACGCGGGCAAAGCCGGACGTGGGCAAGCTGCACAGCCAGCCCGAGCTAGCGGCCCAGCTCAGGATGGTGGACGACGGCTCCGGGAAGGTGGAGGTGAGGGCTTGCTGGGGGAGTTGTGCACACAGGTGCACATCCGCAAACATTCAGGCCACGTGTGCGTATACACACGCCCTCCGACAGCCAGCGCATACAGTCAGGCCTGCTGGGGGACAACCACGGCTGCTCGCATGCACAGCATGGGAGCACAGGGACACTTACTATCCCTTGTTATCGTGAGACCAGGTCATCATACGATAATGCAGGCGCACGTATTGGCACCTGGCACTTGCACATGATAGCAGCCACACGGTCACAGCCAGGTGCACAACTCCGAGCATAAAATAGCACAGAGGACATCACACACGACCCCCAGCACCGTCGGCACCGTGAGCCACCGTCTGGCCGCAATGTTCTAGGAGACACGGGAGTTGGGGCCCCTTCCAGTCTCTGTTCAGGACAGGGCTGGCTTGCTGACTTGTGGGCTGACACCTGAGCAGAACAGTTTCAGTGTTTAAGTCCAGGAAATGGGGCAGAGACTGGTCCCATCTGACCCCAGGCTGGTTTGGGAACGCAGCCAGCTTGTGGGATCAGAACTGCTGGGCCTTTTGAGGGGGCCTGGTTCTCAGTTGGGCCCAGGTCAGAGAATGTTCCAGGTTGCCTTCTACATTTGCCTCCTTTGGATGGACAGAGGGAAGCAACTGAGAGAGGAGACGGGGAAGGGGGGAAGGGGGGAAGGAGGGAGAGAGGCAGAAGAAAGACAGGGAGGGGACGGGGGAGGACAGGAGGAATCTAGGGAAGATGGAGAGTGTGGAGACAGAGGAGGAGCCGAGGTGGAGGGAGAGCAGGGAGGATGGGGTACAGGAGATGAGGAAGGGGTCAGGAAGAGATGGGGTACTCTGAGGCAGAGGGGGACAGACAGGAGAACGGGAGACAGGAAAGCATAAAGGAGGGGAGAGATGGAGGGTGGAGGGCTCCGGGTCCCAGGCTCCAAGCACAGGCGGCCAGGAGGGATCCCTCTCGGCGGGCAGTGGGCAGGCAGGCAGAGAAGGCCTGAGCCAGGAGGCCCAGCTGTCAGGTGAGTGCCAGTCTTGGGTGGCATGTGGTTGGGTGAGCCTCTTTTGTCAAAGGCAGGATTCTTGGGACCAGCAGTTAGCATAATGGCTATGTCGCTGGGCTCCCACGTAGTCGACCGCAGTTCAAGGCCCATACCTGGTGGCTTAAACTCACGCCGAGTGCATGTGCATGCATGCCCAAGATCCCGAGAGGAGAAAGGAAGAGAAGGGATTGCGGCATGGCCATCCCCCCTGGGGGGTGATTTCTCGCTTTCTGTCTCTCTCTCGCTTTCTGGCGAATGCATGCGCCCTATAGCAAAAAACCTCTCAAAAAGAAAAGAAAAAAAAGGGGCAGGATTCTGGATGCTGGGGCTGGAGCGGAACTCCCTGGAGACAGGTGTCAGGCTCCATCAGGTAAAGGATGCCCAGACATTGTTTCCTGCCAAATCAGCACAAAATGGAGCAGGCCTGGGACCCCCAATTTACAGTAGGAAAACTGCAGTTTACAGTGGCCTCTCTGCCAGCAGGGGGCAGCCTTGGGATTTGACCAGGGTCTGCCTCACTCCAAAGCTCAGGAACACAGAACCATGAAGATAAACGCGGGGCAGTGTTTTGCTTTCAATCTGAACAGACTTTGTTTATTTGTTTTAAAGTGCTATTTGGAAAAAGGGAACTTTTCAAGAGCCCCAAGGCCTCACTTCTTGCCTTGCTGCTGCTGCTGCCCTGGGTGGAGCCCCAAGCACCTATGTGGTGACCTGTCTGCCCCCTCCAAGGGCTGTGGCTGGTGGGGTCGGGTCAATCTCAGCAGCCTTTAGAGTCTACACCACTCGTTTACGGCACGCAGACTCAGAGTCCTAGCTGAGAGCGGGCAGGCACGAGCCCCCTGCCCTCGCTCTCAGAGATGAGGAATGCCTTGAAGGCTGAGCAGGGTTTCCTGGCTGGGTGAAGGACAGACGGGCTGTTTCAGGTCCAGGACCACCTGTGTCTACTGTGCCCTGTCCCCAGGTGTGGTGCATCCAGGACTCATGCCGGCAGCCCGTGGAGCCCAAGCATTACGGACAGTTGTGTGCGAACAACTGCTACCTCGTCCTCTACACGTACCAGTGGCTGGGCCGCGTCCAGTCCCTCCTCTACCTGTGGCAGGTACGCCAGCCCGAGGGGGTGGCCTGCACCTTCAAGCCCGAGGGCTGGGATCTGAGAGTGGGATGCGAGGGCCATGCAGGGTGCTCACCACCCCCACCTGCAGGGCCACCAGGCCTCGCCAGATGAAATCAGAGCCCTGCACCGCAATGCCGAGGAGCTGGATCTCACGCAGGGTGGAGCCCTGGTGCAGGAGCACGTGACCATGGGCAGCGAGCCCCCTCACTTCCGGGCCATCTTCCAGGGCCGGCTGGTGGTCTTCCAGGTAGGCCCATCTCACCGCTCCTCCCTGCGCTGTGGCCCCTGCACTGGCTTAGCCCCTCCTCAGGCCTGCAGCCCACCTGGCCACCCACTGGTTTCCTGGAGCATGTCGGAGGCCCAGGAGGGTGACCATCTCCTGGGCCTCTTGTCCTGGGCCTGGAGCCAGGCCTGAAGTAGGAGAAGCACAGCTGAGGAAGTGGAGGCGAAGGGGTACGGGACCTTGCTTGGGGTCACACACAGAGCCAGCCCCCACTTTGCCCCTGCAAGGCCTGGACACTGCGCCCAGCTCCCTCAGCAAGGGGGCAAGAGGACTGTTTAGAAGAGTCTCCTTCCTTACCCTAGACCGGGTCCCCACAGGGGGCCCCTGAGCCCTGAGGCAGTCCAGGGCAGGAAGGCGACTCCCCAGGAGCCCTTGCTGAGGTTCAGCCCTCCTGTAGGGAAGCCCCGGGCACCATGGGATGGGGCAGCCGGCATCTACCACGAGGCTCTTCCACGTGCAAGGCACTGACCGCCGCAACGCCAGGACCACGGAGGTGCCAGCCCGCGCCTCGTCCCTCATCTCCAGTGATGTCTTCGTGCTGGTCACGGCCGACAGCTGCTGTCTCTGGTTCGGGAAGGTACCCACAGCACTGACTGCTCTACGTGGGCCCCGGGGTGGTGGTGCCGGGCTGCAGAGGGGTCCCCTGCACAGGGCTGCAGCCTTTGACCCCAGCCCAGATGGGCCAACAGGGGTTGGGAAGAGGCCACTGTGTCCCCTCTGGGACCTGGGGTAGGTTACAAAGTGACATGTGGACCTGACCGTTCACAGACCAGAGCTAGGTCAGGCCAGGCCACCCCTCCTCCTTGCCTTGAGAAAAGGGTAAGGCCCAGTCTGGTTTGCTGGAGTTCTCTGACCTCAGCTTAAACTGTGATTGAGCCTCTGAGCCTGAGGATCCTGCCCCATGCTCTGGACCTGGGGAGGGTCCCACACTCTGTCACCTGGTCAGCTGGGTGGACGGAGGCCGGGGGTGGGGTGGAGTGGGTTTCCTGCTCTTACATGCCCTGCCGTCAGCTTGGGCCTCTCTGACTAAGGCCCAGCTCCCGGCAGACCTGAGCGGGGTGTGGGTAGGATGGGAGGTGAAGACCCTTCCCCTGCAGGGCCTGACCCAGCTCTTTGCCCACAGGGCTGTAATGGTGACCAGCGTGAGACAGCACGGGAGGTGGTCACCGCTGTCTTCCAGAGAAACGAGGAAACGGTGCTGGAGGGCCAGGAGCCTCCCCATTTCTGGGTGGCCCTGGGAGGCCGGGCCCCGTACCCTAGCAGCAGGAGGTAACGGGACTGGGAGGAGAGTGTTCTCACAGGAGGGCCCCGAGGGTGCACGGCTAATCAGGAGTCACAGAGAGAGAGCGGGAGAGGTGGACTAGAACCCAGGACCCCTCGGGTCCTCAAGAGCACAGCCCACCCCTGCACTCCCCAGCCCTCAGCCCTGGGTCACTGGGATCTGGGAGATGCCAGCCAGCAGGGGACGTGGTGCCCTCTGCTGGCAGAGTCCGCTCCCTGCATGTCCAGGTCCTGGACGGGTGGACCAGGCACCATTGCCCGACAGCAGTCCACAGGGCCCAGTGTGCACGTCCACAGCGTCCTGTGACATAGGGTGAGAACAGCCGTATTCAGTGCATGTGTGCGTGTGCATGTGCATGCACAGGGTATGTGTAGGCACACATGGCAGGGTGAGGCCTTGGGGGAGGAGGGGCTGAGTCCCAGGCTGCCCTCTTGGGTCTGTGGGCCTGTCTCATGCACTGTACCCCCCAAACCCCCAGGCTCAGCCCTCCTGAGGCGGCCCAGTGCTGGGGATAGGCCCAGGGGCTCCTTCCACCCCAGGGAGGACAGGGCTTCAACTCAGGTCCCAGCCATGGACCTTCCCTGAGGTCTGCTCTTGGAGTTCATGTGGCAGCTGTGTCACAACTGGCCGAGGCTGCTCTGCCTTCACTGACAGAGAGGACCCTGTGGCTCCTGAGAGCATTCTGGGGTGGGTGGAGCCCAGAGGCGGGCGGGGACACCTTGCTGAGGCGCAGCACCCTCATGGCCTTGTGCTCACACTGCCAGGCTCCCTGAGGAAGGCTCCAGCTTCCAGCCACGCCTGTTTGAATGCTCCAGCCAGGCGGGCTGCCTGGTCCTCACGGAAGTGGCGTTCTTTAGCCAAGAGGACCTGGACAAGCATGACACCATGTTACTGGACACCTGGCAGGAGGTACAGTGGCCACCCCTGCCTGGCTGGCTGTGCAGGGGTGTGTCTGTGTTTGTGGAACGGCACACTTAGACTGGGCACGGAAGGCTGGAGGTGTGGGACACTGACTTGGCCGTGAGACCGTGGGCGTGTCACTTGACTGTGTACTGAGACTGTAGGGACTCTGACTTGAGCATGTTCAGGACTGTGTGTGACTCTGCCTTATGAAGGGGTGTGACTGCAGGTGATGAGGGCCCATGTCTGCACCTGCCTCCATGCCCCACACGTGAGCGTGGCGTGTGGACACGGCTGCCTCTGAGACTGACCCTGTGTGCTCCACTGGCTGCCTGGGATTGGCCAGACCAGTGCTCGCTGGTGAGACTGTGTGGCATGCATGTGTGTGTACAAGCGTGCGTGAGGGAGACTATGTGATCTGGGCAGGTGTCCGTGGTATGTGCTGTGCTCGTGTGTCTGTGGATTATGTTTCCGTGTGATTATGCAGTGGTGCAGCTGGCTGGGCATGTGTGGCCGTGTAACCTGTGTGATTGTGCTTATGTGTAGACACGTGCTAGACAACCGTGTGAGGGACGATTGCGCGTCTACACGGCTGTGATGCGTGTGTGCGGACGGCTGTCTATGGCACTGTGTGAACTGCTCTGGAGACCATGGGCACCCACCTCACTTGGAATAAAGCCCGAGCCCTCACCATGGCCCTGGTGGCCTGGCCAGCCCACCTCCCTGACTCGATTTCCCCATCCCCGCTCGCTCACTCTGCCCCAGCCAGCCTGGCCTCCTCGCTCAGAGCGTGCCAGGCACGCCACACCTCAGGCCCTCTGCACTGGTTGTTTCTTCTGGCTTCAACATTCTGGGCCGGCCCCATGGCCCCCGTCATTGGGGCAGTTGGATCCCACCATATGGTTTGAATCCTGGCCCTGGCAGCTTGAAAAACATGCTGTGGGCTGGGTGGGGGTAGGGGAGGGCTGGCAGGTAGCATGGTAGTGGACTCCCACATGGCCAACCACAGTTCGAGTCCTAGACTTGGAGACTTGCTTTCTCACTTTCCTTCTCTGTCTTTGTCTGTCTCTTCCTGGTCAAATTAAAAAAATAATGATAATAATAAAGTAAATTAAATAATTCTTTTTTTAAAAAATGCTCATGGAAAAATGGAATTAAAGACCAAATTTATAAAGAAAGAAAGAAAGAAAAACACGTTGGGTATGTGTGTGTGTCCCAAAATGTCAACAGGAAAACAAAATGGAGAAGGGACTGGGGTGTGACCGTGCCCCATTGGGGGTACTTTCTCCCTCTCCCTTTCTTTTTGGTGAGCACATGTGCCCTCTGGCAAAACCAAAACCAAAACCAAAACCCACCACCTCGCCATGCATGCGATTTCTCCCCTAATGAAAAGCCCCATACAAAGGTGTTCTTTCTTTTCTCACTGTTGAGTCCTCAATGCCTAGAGCAGTGTCTGGCACACAGTAGGTGCTCAGTAAATACTCAAGGATGGAACACACGCCAGCCTGCCTGTGAGCGCACATGTCCCTGCGTGTGTGGGCAGGGCAGCTTGCTGAGCGTGCCTGTCTGGCCAGGGATGTGGGTGTGGGGTCCTGAGACCACCTGCTGGACAGGGAGTAGGCACAAGGTGGCGACTCCAAATAGACCCTCCGTATGCCCAAGCCTGTCTGTGCCCCAGATCTTCCTGTGGCTCGGGGAAGCTGCACAGAGGCGGAAGGAGGAGGCAGTGGCCTGGGGCCGGGAGTACCTGAAGACCCACCCAGCAGGGAGGAGCCCGGCCACGCCCATCGTGGTGGTCACACAGGGCCACGAGCCTCCCACCTTCACCGGATGGTTCTTTGCTTGGGACCCCTACAAGTGGACGGTGAGTGAGCACCGGAAAACCCCAGCCCTGCCTAATTTGGGAGGAGACAGGTGTGCTCCTGGCAGAAGAAGGAGGCGTGGCCTGGCTGGGGACCTTGTGTGTGAGACACCGGGTCTTCTCCTCAGGCTACTTCTCGGGACTCACGGGTGCCCTTCATCCTGCCTCCACCCTGACACTGGTCCTGGTTCTTGCCCCCAGAACAGCCAGGGTGATGAGGGTGTGGAGAGCAGCCTGGCAGCAGTGTCCACCATCTCTGAAATAGCAGCAGTGAGTACTGGAGCCCCAGCTTCCCCACCCAGTCTGGGCTCAGACAGCATGACCCAGAATGGGTAGGGGATAGGCCAGGCCCTGGTGGATGGGACGGGACACTGGGGGACAAGAGGCCAATGGGTTCAACATGGCGTCCCCGTGGGCTGCCTATTCCCCGTCTTCCCAAGCTGAGGTCCCTCTCTGGACAGGAAGTCAACAACTTCCAGCTGTCTAGATGGCCAAGCGATGGCAGGACAGGTCCCTTGGCCCCGCAGGCCCTGGAGGGCTCCCAGAATAGTGCAGAGAAGGAGCTGGAGCCAGGCCCCGAGGCAGGTGACGGCAGCAGCACCCACGGCAGCACCAGTGGCGGCACCAGCCCTGCCATCAACGGAGGCCTGCCCCGTGAATGGCTGATGCACCAGGCTGCTGAGGACCTGCCAGAGGGCGTGGACCCTGCCCGCAAGGAGGTGAGTGCCCGAGGGCCCCTGCCTGTCACCACCTCTGCACAAATGTGTCTAAAACTGGGGACCAGCTGTTGGCGTAATGGCTATGTCGCTGGACTCCCATATAGTTGACCACAGTCCGAGGCCCGGGCCCAGTGGCTTAAACTCACGCCGGGTGCATGTGTGTGTGTGCCCAAAATCCCAAGAGGAGAATGGAGGAGAAGGGATTGCAGCGTGGCCATCCCCCCTGGAGGGTGATTTCTTGCCTTCTGTCTCTCTCTGTCTTTCTGTTGAGCTCACGCACCCTATAGCAAAAACCTCTCTGTAAAAACAAAAACAAAAACCAGAAAAACAAATGTGTATAAAACTGAGCAAGAAGGGGCCGGCAGGTGGCGTGGTGGTTAAAGGTGCTGGCCGGGAGTCATGGCCATCTCTGGTTCAAGTCCTGGAACTGCTTTCTCCCTTCCCTTGTCTCTCTCTCTCTCTGTCTCTCTCTGGTCAAATTAAAAATCAATAACAAATGAAGTTAAATTAATAATTCTTAAAAAAAAATGAGCAGGATGTGCCCAAGGCATGACCCACTGCTGCCCTGGGAGACGTATGTTCTCGGGGGGGGGGGGGGCGGGGGGGGGGGGGGGTGCTGGGTGGAGACAGGGGCACTGGGTGGGCTGCCCTGGGAGACGTATGTTCTCGGGGGAAGGGTGCTGGGTGGAGATGTGGGGGGTCCTGAGCCCTGGATAACACCTCTGAGTGGGACAGGACTCTGAGCTCAGATGACACCCCCACCTGTGCCCCAGTTCTATCTCTCAGACTCCGACTTTCAAGACATCTTTGGGAAGTCCAAGGAAGAGTTCTACAGCATGGCCAAGTGGCGGCAGCAGCGTGAGAAACAGCAGCTGGGCTTCTTCTGACCCCAGGGCCTCCCCTGCCAGGGCCACCCTGAAGCCAAGACCCCAGTCACACCCTCTCGGACGCTCCTGGTCACCCCCTCTGTGTCAATAAAAGCTCATTTTCAAGCCTGGCTCACTCAGTGGGGGCCCTTTTCAGGGTGGAGCAGCCGGGGTGGAAAGGCGTCCATGACAGTCCAGAGAGAGCCAACAGTGCCCTCCTTGGGGACTGTTCCTTGCTGGCCTCTCCAGACAACACTCACCTCACTCCGACTCCAGTGAGCACGGGAAGGTCGAGAGTGCTCTGGGCACACGCGTGTGCATGAGTCACGGGGAATTTCCTGGCATCCAGGTAGAGAGACGACAGCGTTTAATTTGATCAGGATTTTTATAAAAACCCTCAACCCAGGGCTGGCCAGAGGGTGGAGAGGGCTGCAGTGTTGTTCCTAACGGAATTGAGGACAGCTCCAGGGGCTGGGCCAGCTCTTGGGCCCCAAAGAGGCAGCAGTACAGACCCTACAGGGGCCGAAGGCAGTTCAGGGGCCTCTGATCCAAGTGAGAGGCTGGGGCCAGCTACCCCGAGCCTGACCCCAGGTGCGGACAGAAAGGATGACCCATGCAGGCGATCCTGCTGGACTCCCCGAGTCTAGTCCTGAAAGGAGACTTTCACAAAGAGGGTGGCTGATGGGTGCTGGTCCCCGTTCTTAGACAGAAGGTGGACGTGCCGGTAACCTGGCAGGCAGAGGGTGGGAAGGAGCATACAGAGTTATTGTCAGTCAGGGACAGAGAGACCCAGCCCAAGAGATGCCAGGCCCTGCCTCTACCTCCCCGGACCCCGGCCATCCCTCCCTCCGACAGACGCTCACCCTGCTTGAGGCAGTTCAGGGGGATGGTGCTCTGCCCAATGAAGTCGTTCTTGGACGACGCATCGTAATCCTCCACCAGGAAGCGGACCAGGGCAAGCTCAGGCACGACCACCTCAAACTCAAACTCCGTGTCCCACCAGGGGTTGAAACCTACGGGGGACAGGCTCCCATCAACGGCGTGGACACCAGCCCCAGCAGCTGGGCCTGGCCCAGGCCTGGCACGTACCGTTATTGGTGATGACGGCAGTCTGGCGGCTGGCCTGGTCCTGGCTCACGCCATGGATCTCCACGATCACCTTGGGGTCCACAATCGAATTCTTGTTCTTATTGACTTTCGGCAGCTGCTGCCCTGAGATGACCTGAGGAGAGGCGGGGGACGATAAGGGGTCAGCGATGGTCTGAGGGGGAAGGGAAGCCTGTGAGCACCTGTCTCTCCCATGTCCTGCCATACCCTGATGTTGAGTCTCTTCCGAGCCCACCAGGGCCCCTGGGTCAGGGCACGTGAGTTGAAGGTAGAGTTGGGGTCTCTCAGAAAGGCGGGCTTCAGCACGTACCCACAGGCCCCGTTGTCCTGGAAGCGGCCCTGGTACACGTCCATCTCTGGCCCTGGCGTCTGAAAGTTCAAGGCCACTACGGGGCAGGGAGAGCGGGCACTGGGTGCGGGCTGGCTTCGGGGCCCTCAAGCCCAGCCTACTCCGGGACACTGAGGCCTAGGGTCTGGCATCACTCCCATGCCCACTGGGCTCTGCCATGCTAACTGACCCACCCCACCAACCACGCCTTCCAACGCTGGGGCCAGATTCAAAACGCCAGTGGGCTCATGCGTTTCCGTCACCACGCCCCATGGGGAGGAGCTGTTTCCAGCCTGGGATGATCAGCTCCAGAAATCCCAGCATCTGGTCCTGCTTAGGTCCTCAGCCCTCCCACAGCAGGGCCCTCCAGGCTCCAGGTGCCTGGCCTCAGGGCCGCACCCCTTCCCAGCCTCCTCCAGCCTCCTCCAGCCTCTCCAGCCGCCGCCAGCGCGTACCGATCTGGCAGCCCCCGTTCCACATCTCCACGGGGCTGTAATTGGAGGAGTCGGTTCTCCAACCAGCGGGGTAGATCCGGCTCAGGTGGCCCACGTTGTGCCGGACAAAGCCGTTTCCTGCGCAGGTGTGCTCGGGTTAGAAGTGGAGGCCGCTGGAGCCCGAGCGCCCCTGCAGCTGTCTGCTAAGAGCGGGGAGCGCCGCTCTGGTCCTGGGCAGCGGGGAGCTAGGCCGGCCCTAGCCACCCAGGGGTCAGGGGCCATGGGGCAGGCACTCACCCGATTCCTGGAGCAGGCGCAGGGCGCGGTTCTCGGAGAAGGACGCCATCTCGTAGAACGCCTGCCCGGCCGAGCCGGGACTGGAGAAGCCCCCGAAGTGGACGCTCTTGCAGTAAACGACCAGGTCTGAGAGCTCCTGCACCAGCCGCAGCTTGTCGTCCTGGGGGCCACAGGGAGGCTCGGGTTAGATCAGAGGCCGGGACGGGGTGAATGCTGAGGAGTCAGAGACCCAGAAACGGAGGCCGAGAGGGGGACAGAGAGGGGACAGGGGCTGAGCTGCAGCCTCCGAGAACCGAGGAGAGGGAGGACAGAGAAGGCCCAGGGCTGCCCGCCCCACGGCTCCCTCGAACCCTGGGCTTGTGCTGCACTCGGCTCCTCACGGCCTCATCCTCCATCTCAGCAGCCTCATCCTCATCTGACACGACAGTGGCCTCGGGACCACCTTCCCCAGCGGGAGGTAGGAGCCCCCCAAACTTCTTCCCCTGCAGCAGGATCTTCCCCTTCAGTTGCTAGGGACGGGGAGGGGACAGCCGGTCAGAACTTAGGCGTCACCCAGCAGGTCCCCAGCCCTCTGCTCTGGGCACCACCATACCTCGGGGGAGGGCAGGCTGGTGGTGACCCCGTCTAGCGGCCGGTCCAACAGCATGGGGCCCAGGGTGGCACGCAGGTGTCGCGCCATCACGCGCTGCTGCTCCAAGCTGCAGTGGTTCTCCAAGGACAGGATGACCGGGTAGGGCGAGGCCTGAGGCCCAAGGGCACGTCAGAAGGGAGTCGAAGTCCCTGGTGTCCCCGTCCCCAGCCCGGGGCACACCCACCTTGAAGGCGTAGTCACGGATGGCCCTGAGCACGTCGCAGAAGAGGATCTTGGAGGTGAAGGTGTAGCCGTGGTAAATGATAGGCTCCTGGTTGGGCCCGTCCCAGCAGTCGAGCTCCAAGCAACGGCACCCTTTGCACAGCGCCCTGCCAGGAGGGGTGGCAGCTAGGACCCTCCAGGACCGCCCGGAGGGCCCACCCAGGCTCGGCCCCCAGACTCCCCGGGCCGCACCGGATGTAGGCTTCCGTGCTGCTGGGCCCTGTCAGCTGGTCCTCCAGCAGGTAGGTGTTGTGGGAGGAGGACACCAGGTAGTGGCTGAG